GTGCATTTAGCTTCTACAGAGAACTAAACATGTAACAATACAAGTAACCTATACTATAACTTACCCTAACAATCCGAAGTGCATTGTTGTTGTTATCGCTACCAACACTGGCACATACTGTTCAAGGTTATTATAACTAAAAATGTACTCTGTCCAGTAAATCTACTTACAGTATTCGTCTTCTTTGCCATTTGCGAACTGTATTTGTGTGGTATATGAGATGTGACAACATCAGCCAAGAATTTCAGACATGGTATATTAGCCACAAGTATTCTACCAACTAAAGTAATGAAATTCTTTCTCTGCAATTGGTGGTCATCATCACTTGGTATGAATTTTCCATTCTCAAGCTTCATAATTCCATCTTCTTTCTTCTGGTCACTGAAGTCTACAGCTCCAATTCTGTTCTCAGTTGACATCACAGTGACATGATGAACATCGATGTTCTGATGCTCTTCTGTCATATGGTGCACATTTTGCCGGTAATCAAAATTGTCAATTGTGATTTTCCGCCCATGGTCACATGATTGTTGGTCATCAGACTCCACCACTTCAGGATTTCTTTTCAGAAACAGGCATTGATTCTCAACAGCATTTAATATTTCATCACGATACCCAGCTCCATATTCGTCCAGCTTTTTATACAAATATGTATGTGATGTTGTTATTCGTAATGAGGCCAGTCGTGCAAGGGTTGCCTAAATAATTTATAATATATACAATTTTGCACACTTATTGGATCATTAAACTATTCTATTTTTCATGTAGCTACATCGCACATCAAAGCTGCATGCAAGCATACTCTATTCTTCACTACCTACATTGGCACGTCACAGTCAAGATTATAATTCAGATAACGTTAACCAACTAATCCACAATTATATTTTGTTATAATAAATCAGTTGTCAGTTGTAACTCCCAATCTTAGGGAAAGCTGAAGACGCAGAATTTTAAACCCCAAGGGCCAAGACCCCCCCCCCCACACACACTCAGGCAAACTGTGCTAAATAATAATAATAATTAATTATAATAATAATAAAGACTTTATTTGAATCAATACACATGACACTAATATTAGTAATAACACCAAAATATTCTAAAATAATATGTATAGTATTAAAAATGAAAATAGATATACACACCTGCCATCCAGAGTGGTAGTTGAATATTGTAATTAATAATTGTAGCGCATTCATAAATCTTGACCTGTTTCTCAGGCAAACTGCTGCAGCCATACCAACAGCAGGTGACCAAAATGTTTCAATATTTAAGCCATTCTTGTTTGCCCTGGATCTACTTCGAGGGTTCACAGAAGCAGCAACTAACACGGAAAATGTCAATGGGGCTCTTTTCTTCAATTCCTTGTTAAAATGTTCGATTGAAAATTTCAACATATTTTCCTTGTTCGGGCTCCTTAGACAGCTTGGATTTTTCCTTGAGCAAAGATCAGAACATTCTCGGTTTATGTCATTTAACATTAACAGTTGGAGTTGTTTCTTGATGCTTGTGTTCTTCCATGCTGCGTTCGCTATCTGTTTGTATGTTCCTCGTACAAGCATTTTTCCTAGCGACTCTAGATCACCTGGCAACTTTCGTTCAGCATTTTTACTGGGCCACTCAACTTTCACATACACATTCGTAGATTTAGGGCCCTCTTCTGAGTTTTCTCTATGCTTAATTGGGGACACAGGCCATTGTGGAGGTATATTATCTGGACGTACAGGTGAACTGCAACGAGAACTGGAAGATGGCCGCTCTATCGTTTCTGTGCTTGTACTAGGCGAGCGTTCACCCTCATTTCCACAATGTATTTTAATACCAACACTGTCCAAACTGATATCACTTGTTCTTTTTAGCGAAGAGCTTGACGAACACGTTGATTTAGTTTGAATAGTGCGATAAAACTCGTCGATACACTCAATTTGTGTGATGAGGTTTCTTCGTTTCTTCAGCTTTTTAACACATCCAGCGCAGATAAAAGGACTCACTCTTTCTACTTTGAAAGAAAAACTTTCCAGTTCAGGAATTACTTTGAAAGCTCCTTTACCTTCGACACGATGCTTTTCATTAATTTTCACAATAACATTCAAACACAATATGCAAATGTCCGACATATCATCTACATACTATTCTTTCATGCGCACATGTTGCATAATTATGAAATCACAATCTAAATAATTTTCCGCTGGCTCATCCGATGCATAATTTGCATATATTATAGAACACGTAACCTGGCACTAATGCACAGACGCTACTTAGCGCCCCCATTTCCGCCCACGAGCGTCTGTGACGCAGGCTATTGACAGGCGTGCATCATCTTTTATTAGTTACTCTGCAGAGAAAGCATCTATTACAATTATTATTTTTATACATGTAAAATATCGAAAAACGTTCTCCATGACAGGTTGCAAATTACACACAACGACAGGTTGCAAATTAAACAGGTTACATCCTCTTGAAGGTGACAAATGACAACAAACCAGTCCAAGCCTTCTTCAACAGATATCGCTTGTGATACATGTCACTGGAATATTGCCTAATTTTTATATTGCACTCAGTGATGATTGCTTTTCCCAGAAAAATGACTTTGTACATGCTCTTTACCATCAACCTGCATCAAATCACTATATAATCGTAATAATACTAATGCTCAATACAAGTACTCTTTATTACTGTGGATATTGTTGCTGCGATATTTGCCTTTTAGGCTCAAATGAATCCACATCTCTATGAACAAAAGAGGCAAATTGTACTGGCAGTGCACCATTTAACACCTGTATTCTAAAAGCTCACTCACACTCAATGAGTGGAGGTTCAATCTGAGCTTGTCTTGAGTGTCAATGCTATTTTTGAATAGCTGGAGGGCTAGTGTCACCCCTTACTCGGTGACTACTCACCCTCTCTATTTAAATTAAAATGCATCTATAGGCCAACTAGCAGGAATATAACCTGCGTCTCTGCGATTCCGGTCCAGTGCTCTAACTAACTAAGCTACAAAGTCCAGGTGTTAAGCTCTAACCTCCCGTTCATGTATATATACAAAAGTAAGGGCGCTGGTTGGATACCTGCCAGAGGGCTTGTAGTTGCATTTTTCACAATTGCCCTTGGTCAGGACTCATAGCCTAAATGTATAAAATTTACACTCAAAATATTTATCTACACAATCTTTCAACAGTTAGTTCTATCGAGTGAGATGCACTCAGTGAACTCAGTCGACAGATGATGATCAGGGTATTAAATTTATGTTTATATTACTTTATTAAACCTTTATAGAGGTAAAAATGGAAAAGGTACAACAGGTTACCCCAATTACTAGACTATTAGACTATTAATAGTCATAAAATATGTTACAATTTACTTTAAGTTTATGTCATTCGTGAAAGAAGTTATTATAATACCTTTAACTTGAGTAGTTATGCTTATTTACATTGTACAACCATAATATCTTTAATACTCACGTTTACCTATAAATATTCTGTATATTCTTCCATGTTTATACAATTTAATGTATTCTGGAATTCCGCCATATTGGAAAATATTTACGGGATTTATCAAGCCCGCGAGCGCCTGCTTTGCAGGCTAGAAAACAATTTGTGCTAGTCCTCTTGCGCACATCGGTGACGTTACGGAAATCAAAAGCGTGCAAAGAGGACTTGGGACTAGTCTTACCCTGGCGGCGGAGGGTAAAGTCCTGGAGGTGAAAGGCAAAGTCCTAGCGGTGACGAAAGCGCAGCTGAGGGTGGCAAACGGAGCCAGGAAATTGTGATTGAAAAAGCGGGGGGAAATGCAAACGGCTGGAAGATCGTGGGCAGATATTGTTGGTTCGCAGAATTTAAGTCAAGGTGCTGTACCATTACCACATGCTCGGTTTGGAGCTAGGGTTGCTAGACCCAACTCTGTTGTGTTGCATACCCAAGCGTTTAAGGATTTTACAGTGCGTGAGGTCATGGATGCCGTTTTAAAACGTGTGAGACAAAATACAATTAAATGTGTGCAACAATTTCCGGGACCTCGGTATCGTTGACTTTTCGCTCGTTGGAATATAAACAATTCTTTTTAGATCATGAGCCGTTTCATTGCTCAAGAGCTTGATATGCCCACGTTACTGGTTAATGTTTTGTATGCCCCTAATGAAATTTCTAATCAAACGATAACTGCAACGTTGCCGAAGTATGGCAAAATAGTGAAGGTGGATCGGGAAATGTATCGTGATTGGCTTAATGTCTAAACTGAAGGGATTCCCCGTCGTCTCTTTATTGGCCCTTATCCGATATAAACTAGTTATCGTGGGCAAGTGCCTTTAAGTGGCAGATGTGGCCAATATGGACATCGTGTTGCTACATGTTCGAATGATATAAAGTGTTTCATGTGTGGTCAAAATGGTCACATACAACATCAATGTTTCAAGTGTTTTTTATGTGGCCAGTTTGGGCATGTCAGGGCAAATTGTCTAGAAAATCGACGTAAAGTGTCCATTGACATAGATGATGAAACGTCGGAAAGTAATTTGAGTAACGATATCGGTCGTGATGAAGACGGTAGCGAAGTCTCCCGGTCGAGTGATGAAGATATGGACCCTGTGGAATCGACATGTTGTAAGGATCCAGGTGGCATCAGAGATGAAGTTATGAACGGGATATACAATGATGCCAGCCAACATCACCCAACGGAACGAGGATCTGTCCAAACAGTCGAGAACAACAAAAGAAAAGCAGAAGAGGACGTTTCCATACCTGACGAAGATGTTAAGGTTCCTAAAGACTCCACTGACTAACGTGTCAGTATTATAGGAGGCTCACCTGAAGAACCGAAAAAAGACCGACAAGGGGAAAAAGAAGAAAAGGAAAAACATAATAAAAATTAAAGGACAATGGCGGGAATGAGTGTGGTATCTTTAAATGTTAATGGACTTAGAGATCATCGAAAGCGTCGTCTGCTGTTCGACATTTTAAAGTATGAAAAATTTGATTTTTTATATTTCTTCAAGAAACGCATATTGCAACCGTTGATTATTGTGTAAAATGGAACAAAGAATCGGGACTGAAAGGGTATTAAAGCTTGTCAAATAGTTGTGGTGTTGGTATATTACTCCGTGATCCCGACAGATTCAAACACTGTACTTTTCGTTGTGATGCTGCTGGACGTATCATTTCTTTGGATTGTACATTCAATAGTCAGGACTTGCGCCTTATTAATATATATGCCCCTACTGACGGGACTAAGCGCATAGAATTTTTTCAAAGTCTTGATACACATTTTGTATCTCGTAGACGGTTAATTATTGAAGGTGATTTTAATTGCATGCAAGATTTGGAGAAGGATAAATATGGCGGAAATCCAGCATCAGCAGGTACTGGTGCTTTACATCTAAAGAAACTAATACAGCGATTTGATTTAGTTAACATTTGGCGTAAACAGCACCCCACTGATCGTCAATTTACGTGGCAAACTAAACGTGGTAGCATTAAATGTCGTTTGGACAGATTTTATTTTTCTTCGTCGCTTGTAAGGGATTATGACGTCGAAACAGACATAATGATATACCCATATTCGGGTCATGATCTTGTTCGGGTTTTGTTAACGGTTGACAAAGCTAGTAGTAATGTTGGCCCCGGTGTGTGGAAGTTAAATGTCTCATTATTACTAGAAAATACATGCATGCAGAAACCCTCGCCTTGCTGACAAAACCATTTTATTTTCCGAACATGAAGTATCTAAAGTAGTTGTTATGGTAACACGATAATTTCTTAAAAATATTCTTACAAATGAAAAATCGCTTAAAAATATCACTATTATCAATTTTCCAACATATATATGTTAGGTATGATATTATACGTAATATAAGCTTCAGTATAAAGTAAAATTCAACAACAAACGCTTCGCAAAACGTTTTAAAGTGTTCTTTATAAAACTGCCTTTATTCCTTAATTAAATTATGACTTTATCGATAAACTTTGAGTTTGCAATAAAATGATTTCAAATTCTCGCATGCAAATAACTTTGCTTTCTTTCAGTTTGTTTAAAAAAATTCAATATAATAAAAAAGGGAATCAATATTAAAGATACACTGAAATGGGCCTCGATATGCGGTCTTGTAATAGTTGTTTCATATACGCAAAGGCCGTCGGGTTTTAAAGCAATTATAAAATCAATATTTAAAACAAACTTACCTTCGTTAACGTCGGCTCCCTTCTTTTGGGCAATTCTTTCGCCGTTTCTTTCTTGAAATTTACGAAATCTTGCAAAATATTTGCAAGAAATTTATCAATCATCAAATAAAGAAATGTTTGCTATTTCGCTGTCGCTATATAATGCAAAATTTTAATTGGACCAATCACAGTGTTCGCTATTCATGACAGTCCGCCATATATTTGAGATCAGTGAGGATGACCACCCACGGTTGGTGACCCACGCCCGCGATATTTGATGAACTTTAGACTTCGCTAATGTTTTCGTTTCCCCGGGTGTAAATAGCCGGGGGGAATTAGTACCCTCGCACGGCGACAAGTGCAAGAAGTTTGTGAGCAAATTGCTTCATTTTGGGAACATTGGAAAGATCGGAAAAGTGATTTTGGTAATGTAGCAGAATGGTGGGATTCTGGCAAGTTAAGAGTTAAATCTCTTCTTCTCAAATATAGTCACAAGGAATCTCGAAAGCGCAAGCAAGAACGTGCGACCGTACTTAATCGCTATCGTCGTACTGTTTGTAAAACAAATTTATCGGAGGATGAAGTTAAAGAACTAGACTTAGTTTAGTCCCAATTGTAAACTATGGATTTAAAACGTATCCAAGGAAACAAGATCCGAAGTGGAGCAAAATGGCTCGAATCAAACTTACAGCAATCGCGCTTTTTCTTCCAAAAGGGGAAAAGAAGAGCGGTTAAGAAAACGTGCCATGCTCTACGCACGAGTGATGGGAGGAGAGTGATATCTCAAAGTAACAAGTTCGATTTTATAAAGAACTTTATTCAAAAGTGCCGACAGACAAAGTTACCCAAGATCGGTTACTCAATTTAGTTGATAGGAAACTAACAAATGAACAACGCGATTTATGCGAGGGACAGTTAACGGTGGGTGAATGTTTGGTAGCAGTAAAGTCTAAGGCAAATGGCAAAACACCGGGTTTAGGCGGTCTACCAAAAGAATTTATTTGTCCTTTTGGGACTTGCTTAAAGAAGCCTCTGTTGGAATGGCAAATTATTGTTTTTCAGTTGAACTGAGTCTATGCGCCAGACATTAATATCACTGTTGTTTAAGAAAGAAGATCCTGAATTATTGAAAAATTGGCGCCCAATTTCTCTCCTCAATACAGATTACAAGATTATTACAAAAGTTCTGGTAAATCGTGTTAAACCTATTATGCCCATGATAATTCACCCGGATCAATGCTGTTCTGTCCCTGGACGTTCGAGTGAAGATAATGCGACTCTCCTACGGGACGTATGTGACTATCTGGAAGTTAATGAAGTTTCAATGATCCAGTGTTACGTGATTTTGATTGGCGCACGGTATATCGGGTTTCACCTGTCAATTTCAGAGTGCATAAATGGTATTCACGAATATCTTCAGCATGTGCACGGTGTGGTGAAAGAATGGAAATATTAGAACACACGTGGATTCATTGCCCAATGGTAAAGGAGATGTGGAATTCATTTTGAACTTGCGCAATCGAATTGATGCATTGGTTCTTGATCTTTCACAGCGGAATATGTTGTTGGGTTGTTTCCCGCGAACAAGAACAAGAGACCTTCTGCGTTATTTAATCAGTGTTGGAAAATTTTCCGCGTGGACAGAACGAGTGTCACGTCAGTTCAGGAAGGATGAGAAAATTAACAGTCTTGTGTATTTTAAGAATTACGTGCGAAATCGATTGGAAACAGAACAGTGTATCATGGACACGGAAAACTTTGAGTCAAAATGGTGCATAAAAATGTTTTAGCATCTGTTATAAACGGTATAATACGAACTTTGATCTAAAAGTCAATATTTGTGTGACCTAATGTAAATATTTTAACATAATCTAATGCATGTGAATTGTGGGTAAAATAATTTTGATTCCCCGTAGTGATATACACTATGTGGGGTTTTTAATAAAAATACTCTTACCTAATGGAAGAGTTTTGACGCGCTCTGAGGTAAACGGCTGTTGTCTCTTTCTCGACTTAGAGACGTGCAGCATTTTCTAGTCGAAAAGGAGATGTGGGTCTTTCAAGTCCGGAATTCAAGACTCATGCCAGGTCTTGAAACGAAAATGTAAAACTGGGTAAAACCGGCTAACCGGTTATTATTTTTTTGTAACAATCTGGTACCCGGGTTATTACGAAAAAATAGTAAGCAGTTACCAGGTTATTACGGAAAGATAATAACCCGGTACCCGGTTATTATTTTTCCGTAATAACCTTCAACTCCGTAATTCCCCCGGAGAAATCGAATATCACCGCCTGCTTTTAGATAGGTTATTACGGACGAGTTAAAAGCCGACAAAATACAAAAGAATATGGTCTGATGAGTTTATAATAACAGTACATAAAGTGATTAATCGCTATAATGTCGGCCTAAACTTTTTAATTCGCGAAAATACCGTCTTCTAGTTGGTTTATATTAAAGTTAATAATTAACTATTATCGCGGGAAATTTGAATTTTTCATATCGTAATATTATCGTAAAGTAAAATAGCACGCAGAGCCGATAGACAAAGTTCATAGTAGCTAGAAAACCACGGCGTTCCTACTTAATAACATGTGGTCCAGTCGATCTTCGAACATTTTCCACCAAAGAATTGTCTGCGGCCAATGTATTTGAAGCTTTCTCTTTCCAACGAAGCAATTAATTGCCACAAAACTGGGCACATATTGTATTGAAAGGCACCAACAACAAGGCTTTTATTGTCATACGCAATTGTAACATGGCAAAAATTGAACCAACAACATACAGTCTTGATATACTTTGAGAAACAGTTAAAAAACTGTTGATATTTCTAATACGCGCGTTTGCATCGATTTATCTTAGGTTTCATACATGTTACTATTCATGTTACCATTTTCCATTATTGATTTCTATATATGTTGAACATGTTACCACTATTTTCTATAAATATAGTATATACTTATATTATATATTATGTTATATGATATGATATATATTATAAAATAGATGGTATATAACATGTGGTAACATGTTCATTATTTTAGTATTCTTATAGTATGATAATACGAGGCACGCTCTTTGAGTGGTTATAACAATACTAATTTTAATATCCATGGAATGCTAGCCATATACAAGGGACGTCACATAAGTAATGACGTCAGGTTATTCCATCCCTCCCTTGTTTTGAATGGAAGTTTGTCGGGCATTGTTCATATGAAGTAATTTGAACTAATTAAAACCAATGATCTGAACTGAAGTATATATATTTAGTAATAAAACATAGTTAGTTTAAATATTGTTAATGCTGATATTCAATGTTTAGACGTTCTGGGGGCCGGGTCTCCTATTTTCTCTTGTAGGATAACGCCTAATTTCCGCAGGATGGTCCAGTGTAGGAATGTTGATGTCCTCATCGTGAAAAGGGTCTGCTGCATGATCTTGCTGATGTGTGGTGATGGTGATTTTCTTGAACTGCGAGTCGAGCCATTTCTTGTTATGTAGCTGGTTGCGTTTCTTGCCGTTATCATACTACCTTTGGTCTTGACGATTGTGTATGGATGTTTGTTGTACGGTGAGGATAGTTTATTGATGTGTTTTTGATGAACGAAAACAGTGTCCTCAACTTGAAGGCTGTGTGGTTTTGCTTTGGCTGCGGTATCAGCATTCTCTTTCATCTTTTCCTTCTGTTTGAGATCGATATCGGCGAATTGCGAGCGTGATGGTGACGTGGGAACTACTTCCGGTAACTTGACGGTTAATTTTCGTCCAAAGAGGAGCTCGGCAGGGGAAGTTCCCCTGTGGTGGAATATGGCGTCGCACGGTAGTTTAGGAGGAAAAGAAACAGTTCTTGATTCCAATTCTTGTTTTCGAGGTGGGCAGCGCGGAGTGTTTTCTGAATTGTTCGCATGAAACGTTCAGAATCAGAATTGGCTTTGGGCCACTCTGGAATGATCTTTCGGTGGTGAAACCCCACCTATTGCGGAGGGAAGAGGGTCACAGAAATCGGCAGAGAGTCGTTGCCAAGGGGCCTATGGTAACTCTGTCATGCGTAGGGGTTCAAATGGCTGTTGAACGACTGTTGCCTGACAGGCGAGATAGGTGTCAATTAGCTTTTTCGTAAGTCCATCGATTCCAGGGAACCAAATTTTTCGCAGAGCAGCTGTTTGGTTTTGGTAAGGCCTTGATGACCTTCGTGGACGATGTGGAGAACACGTTTACGAAGGGCATGTGGGAGGATTAGACGGTGAGAGCGAAGGAGGAGATCGTGATCATCAGAAACACTCAGTTCGTCGCGGATATTGTAGAGAGCGTGGAGGTCCTGCAGGGAGTGGAAAAGGGGACTGGGTGTCTCAAACGTTGAGTGCCAGAAGTAGTTACGGAGGGCTTCGATGACGGCTTGCAGAGTGTGGTCGGCACGGGTGGATTGTTTCACTTCAGAAACGGTCATAGCTTTTGGGGTGGTATGATCTGCTAAGAACGCGATATATTCTTCAGCCTGGTTGGATGCAGTGGAAGGGTGGGTTGTAGCTAGAGGGTGACGGGACAGATAATCAGCGGGGTTGGTTTTGCCAGGAGAATAGGAAATGGTGAAGTGGTATGGTTGAAGCTTGAGGGCCCAGCGTTCTAATCGGGCATTGGAACGAGCAGCGGGATTGGTAATGATGCGTTCAAGATGTTTGTGACCTGTGATGACATTGAATTTCGCGCCGTATATGCAAAGATGAAAATGTTCACAAGCAAACAGTACACCGAGGGCTTCTCGTTCTGTTTGGGAAAACCGTTGTTCTACGGGAGTGAGAGAACGACTGGCATAGGCAACAACATAGTTGTTTTGGCAAAGAATAGTACCAAGACAAACAGGGCTGGCATTGACAATTATGGTAGCTTCTTTGTTGGGGTTGAAGTACGAGAGAACGGTATCGTTGGTGAGAAGATGCTTCAGCTGATCAAAAGCGTTTTGATGCTGTGGTGTCCATGTCCAGGGCTGATCGGATTTGGTAAGCGTACGGGGGGATTCGGTGATGTTGGAATAATTGGGGATAAATCGCATACATGTCCAATACCTATGCAAGATGTCCGATGGAAAAATCAAAAGGCCATTGGACATTCCATTTGTCAAATGGATCAAATGGACCTCCAATTTTCCATTGGACTTTTGCGTGTCCATTGGATCCAATGGACAAATGGAGTTAAGTTTGATCCAATCCTCTCCTTCGACAATCATATCCTTTCTACTGTTTCATCCTGCAAGTCAAGTCTCTGCCAGATAAATCTACTATTGTTCCTTCCTGCAGCAACCTATCCCGACTTCAAGGAGTCCAGAACTTCGCAGCACGAGTAGTGAGCAACAGAAGGAAATTTGACCACATCACCCCGATACTTAAGGAACTGCGCTGGTTTCCCGTGAAGTCACATCTGTACAGTCGCGATGCTTTATTAGCTTTCAAATGCATGAATGATTGCGCACCTGCCTACTTATCGTCTCAGTTCAAAACGAGAGGTGAAGTGAGTGGTCGCGATACTAGAAATACTAAACAGCTGGACGTTCCGTTATACAGATCAACTGCAGGACAAAGAACATTCCATTACAGAACTGTCACTCTCTGGAACAACATTAACCCTGACTTAAAACTTTGCAAATCTATTCCAAGCTTTAAAATTAAACTGAAACGGGAACTGCTTCAGCAATTTCTAGATAGTTAGCCTAAGGGCATGTTTTTCTGTTGTTGTTGTTATTGTCGTTGATGTTGTTGTTGTTGTTGTTGTTGTTTTTGATGTCGTTGTTGATGACGTTGATGTACGTTGTATGCTGCTGTTGTTAATCTTGTTGTCAAAATTTTGATGTTGTGTTTGTGTATAAAGTAATTGCGTGATCTTATTATATAAA